AAGTACTCAGTGAAGAATAATTAATTTCCGGGATCGGGCCTCTAAGGTTTTTCGATGTTGTAAGCTATAGCTTTAAAGCTGTATTGGTCTATTGACTTCAGCCCATAGTTCTTATAAATTATTATTGAATTCTTAATTACTAGTCAGCTTTGTTTAATGGAAGATACAAAAATCAGAATATTTATTCTCATATACTTTTCAAAATATATTAGACTGTGGAGGTCTCCCGTTAGTGTTTCTGCTAGGCAAATTACATTGTGAAATCTGTTGTTCATAAATGTTAATAGGTGGCTACAAATGATTACACTGAAAAAGGGAGGAACATAACACCTTAAATCTGAGTTGTCACACATTTAAGGGAAAAAAAGTAAATATTTTATTGATACTGAAGCTAAAAATACACAAAATTATTTTATTGTACCAGATTCTTTTTAATACATTAAGATTGACACTATGCACTTACAGAAAGTGTTTAAATAAAAGTGATAGTTATTCAAAGAGATTTCCACTTTTAAAATACTCTTCAAAGCCAATGCCATTTACACAGACACGTTTGGAATTTTCCCTTTTCATGATTATGCTACAGGTGTATCATTTTAAACTGAAATTTGACACACTTTCTCTATGGTGATATGTGGTTGGGGCTGCCAACTAGGTTTAGAAGATGAATTACACATAGCCCATATTTTCTAGTATTCTCCTTCCTGCTACCAAATATTAGCTTGTTGCTGCAGACTGCATTCATTGTTTTGAGTAGAAAGAAACTCCCATCCCTAATTTCAACCCCATTTTTTAGAAATGTGGAATAAATTAAATCCTGTGAAGAGTTTATTCTTCTGTTGAAGAGTACCTCTGGTGTGCATTCTTATGTTATAAGAAACAAACTAATATGTATTTGCTTGAGAAGGATGTGTTTATCCTTATCTGAAGTATCCTGGGGAAGGTCTGTGTCTTTGCTGTTGAGATAAGATAAAGCTTTACTTTTACTTTAAGGTAATAATTTGAACAGTTAATTTTAAAGTTAATTTTAAAGTTAACTTATCGAATTGAATTTCCTTTTATACTAAACCACAGACTAATGTGTTAACCCTTTGGGTTTAGAGGACTCTTCTTGTGCTCACATAATATTCATTTTGGTGCCATTGGTCCCAATTATCCTGTTAAGACACTTGAGAATTCTGTCTGCTTCTCCTGCCCAAGTACGATAAGCACAGTTATCACTGATTATTGGACTACAGGTTACATTGCTTTGGATATTTAAACTGATTGCTTAATATGTTTTACAAGGAGGTCCTGCAAGGTGTGACCACAACATGATGAGGCTATACTTTAAATACTATGACTAGATCTTATACAGGAAATACCTAATCTGAATATGTGACTTTCAAATGACCTGAACATATTCAGCTAGCTGGCTGCCATCTTCCCATTAGAGTATCTTTCCATTGCTTCTGCCACCATGGATTCTTATGAGTCCAAAATCCTCCCTTCTGTTCTCTATGGAGGTTAGTGGTTTTTCTTTACCACCTCCCTTCCTGATAACAGCCTAGTCATCAGAGCCTCCGTGCTATACAATGTCATTTCTTAAGGATCAAATAAGTTTGAGGAGTCAATTCTGAGTTTACAGAATAAGCCATTGGAACTCAATGCATTTTACTATTTAAACACAAATGTTTCAAGGGTTAATCATTATGGTTCCCAAATCAGTGAAGCTTCTCTATCTAAATATATTGCTCTTTAAGGTGTTCTCTTCAGGAGGCTATGTGCTTATTCATGTAAGGCTGCCACTGCTCCAAGCATAATTGAAACTAGATTCCAGGATACAAAGGGGAACAAGGATTCTTGAGGGGGTGACGGAGATATTCTATAACTTGATTTTGGCTGGTGTTTCCAGGGGTATATACAACTCTGAAAACTCACCAATTTGTATACTTTAAATGGATGCAGGTAATTGTACATAAATCATTCCTCAATAAAGTTAATTAGGGGAAAAAACTAGATTCCCAAGAGCAGTTCCAGATCCCTTACAAATCCCACAAGAGACAGTCTCATTATTTTATAATTGTGCCTATCAAAGTGCCTATTGTGTAATAGCACTTGAAAATTTTTTTTTGTTTTTTTGTTTGTTTTTAACCAGAGAAAGTGGTACTCATCTTGACCACCGCATGTTTTACCAAGTGTGGATCTAAAATTACTTTTGGCAATTTCTAAATTCCTAAAAATTTAATCTTATAGGATCCTGATTTTCTACCATTGAGGATATTCAGAGATTGTACTGTGGACTTTGAAAGTCATTTCAAAAGCACAAGTCCAAAGTGGGTTGAGTAATGGCAGCATCATTAGAATATGGGTATGGCTTTTTAAGGTGACTACTTTAAAGGACCACATTCATTTGGGTGCATAAATTCTGGTATGTTTATGAAAATATCAGTCATTATAATCCTATTTTTATTCCAAATTATGAGGCTAAAAGATGACAGCAGATATATAATCTGACTTTTTGCCATAGTACCCTTCCTTAATTTTAGCTTTCATTTCTTTTTCATGTTGCTTTGACAAACCCACTTTATTTCTTAGATAAAATTTGAAGAAAGTGATCTTTCCAATTGGCTAAAATGTACATATTTATAAAAGCCCATCTGTGGTATTTCACTATGGGTGTGGTGTGTTGAACTTATATTTACAGTGATCCCAAGGTTGAGAACTTGTTAACACCTGAAATTTAACCCAAATATGACCCAAAATTTGAAGAATGATTTACAGGTAGTTCTGCTTTCATATATTGTTGCAGTTTTTGAATTTAATTAAAGGAGAAATGGTGATGTTAATGTTTTAATTAACCATTTTAAATTACATTTTTTATTCAGGTGATTCATCTCAATTTGGTCATCCAAAAAATTGACAATTTGGTGGTTTAGCCCCATGTTTTAAAGTGCATATCCTCATTCGTCCTTACTTCAAAGGCTTTTCCAACTGTCTCTTTACTACACTATCACCATCTAAGTTTCCCAATCCCAGCAAAAATCCAAAGCCTCCTTTCTTCCAAGGATCAGCTTTAAGAGTTGTGTAAGACTGGATAACTGTCAAGACGGTTCCTAGGTTGGAAGGCAATTGGTGGCAATGAGTATTTTGGGGATATATTGAACTTTGGGGAAACAATATAAAATGGCCAATCCCAGCTTAATTGTACTTTCAAATGGTTGGCTGCCTTAGGTTTAAATAAAAGGCACACTGCCACATATTCGTTCAAGTGCCATTGAGGACAGTGCCTTTTGTGTGTACGTATGTAAGCTCCTGGGATGTTAGGTTGCCCCCAAACCTGCTAAAGTCAAAGGGCAAATATGCTGAAAAATTGTGAAAATGACCTTCACATTGCAAGCCATTCTAACCTACTTCAGTTAGTCTTTTTTGGTTCTATCAAGTCACTGGAGTTATAAAGAAAGTTCTTTGAGGGGGAAGAGGGTAGGACAGATACATGCTACTTTGATGGATGTATAACAGTTGATTTCAATGATCAAAAGTTGTGGGCTGTTTATGTTCCTACAGAAATTGTTTGCCATTTATTTGTGTAGTAACAGGAAGCCTCTAGAGCTTTCACAACTTTTCACATCAGATAAGAAAACTAGCTTTTTGGCATAAGGGCATTCCACTTAGTTTTATATTTAAATATTATAATTCTTAATATGTATATGTCTCTCAGGTACCACAAACATTGATGGTATAGCTTTAGAAAAAGAATGAACACAGATCCAATAATCAAGTGCAAGATACAAATCCACTCAAGTTGGGGATAACACAAATAGCCTAAAGATGCTAGAGCACACTGGCTTGCTGCCTCTATCATTCCAGCAGTTAACTCTGTTTCTTAAACATTACATTTTCTAAAAGTAAAGCTCTCACAAGGCACCCACTAACACCTCCTCTGGATCACCACACAATTGATGAAAATCCTAGGCCATGTGCCAGCATATGAATGAATATTAACACCTCAAGTATGCATCAAATCTCAGGTATACAGTAAATCTGAAGTATGCAGACTTACTTTATTTTGCCAAAAATGTGTATATTTGAATCTTCCAGGTAAGTTATTCTGAACTAAATGCTTTTTTTCTTTTTAACAAAACCAGAAACCTCAAATTTTGATAGCTCTCAATATAAAAGTGCTATGGAAGATGCTGTCATGGCAGTTCATTTTGGCAATTCCTCACAGCTCAGGAAATGTCTCCATTGAAAAGTTATTCTTGCTTCCCTCTCTTCAAAATGATCTAGTAATTACCTAAAGGGATAAAGGGCCAAGGGCAGAACAATCAATTGCTATTAAGTTTTGTTATGTGTGTGTATGTATATACATAAACACGTTCTCACTTTTACAGACATCCCTCAAAAGGCAAAGCAAGCCAAAACCCACATCTGTTGGAAAAAAGTTACTGGAAGGTTCATTGGAAATATAATGGTAACAATGTTTCTCTGTGCTAAAGTAAAGCTCACATTCATTTGGGGTACTCAGATCCCACTGTCGAGTTCTACACCAACAAGGTGGATATTTGGAGCAATTATCTAGATAAAGTAAGCCAAAGAAACAATCTAAAATATCCATAGTTTTGAGGCAAAGCTGCAGGGGTTGAAGGTAGGGAGAGCTGTGAAGTAGGTATGAAGAGGTTATTTAAATGATCTGAACACTTGAATCAATTTGCATTTACTATGTCTATATGAGCAATCTTTTGAAAACTTGATTACCAAGAAAATATACTATTTTTTTCTTAGGTACTTTTATTTATTTATTTTTGAGACAGTCTCGCTCTGCCACCCAGGCTTGAGTGCAGTGGTGTCATCTCAGCTCACTGCAACCTCCGCCTCCCAGGTTCAAGTGATTCTCATGCCTCAGCCTCTCAAGTAGCTGGGACTACATGCGTGTACCACCATGCCCAGCTAATGTTTGTATTTTTAGTAGAGACGGGTTTCACCATGTTGGCCAGGCTGATCTCGAACTCCTGGACTCAAGTGAACCGCCCACTTTGGCCTCCCAAGGTGCTAGGATTACAGGAGTGGGCCACCATGCCCAGCCTCATTTTTTCTTAGGTACTTTTAAACAAAGGATTTGCTGCCTATCTTCAAGTACTTTTTACCCGATGATTTAACAAACCAAGGTCTGGAGTACTAAAACTATTAGGCAAAACACCACTCGAGTTTCACCCACGATGCAACGTGAATGCCAGTGGTTATTTGTATTTTCAGGCTAAGGTATGGCCTCATTATTATCTCTGAAGTTCCCACTGAAGTTTTCAGAGGAGGTTTGCACTACCATAAGAACTATAAAGTTCTTTTTGGAAAAGGTATTAAGTCATTTGAAAAGTGGAGGTGTTCGTTTTTAAAAAATTATCTAATCAAATTGCAGACAGGTATTTATGACTTAGCTGAAATAGCCTAAGTTAGGTCACGGTGGAATGAAAAATGATGGAGGCAGAACAGGGAATTTTTTAATATCTCCATGTAAGTAGACAGAAGCATAACTTGAAGCATTTATATCCCTGTTAAGTTTGGCATTTTCCAAACATGATTTTAAATTTAGAATCTTTCCTCTGTCTTTGCATTTCACTGGACTTAAAGCTGGAAGTGGAGATACTTCAATAATGGTCACTTTCTAATAGAATTCAAATATTTTCTTTGTAATTTTTACCTTTATTATTAGGGTGACTTTATGAGATCAAATAAATGAATCCAAGGTGTCTGGAAGTGATAAGCCAACTGTAATGTAGGTGGACCATGATATGGATATTTTAGATAAGTAGTAAATGACTTTTGTATTATTTGTGTTTGACTTTGCAGTACATTTTTAACTTTACATTTAAAAATGTAAGTCTGAAGTTTTTGGAGTTCGCAGCATTTTTGGCAAATGAACAAAAGGGTGTCTGTAGTGGCCACTTCATGTTCACATATATATATGACATATATGCTTATTAATAAATGTCTTCTATAATCTAGAAGGCTTGAGTTTATTGACCAGCTCTGTGACCTTGAGCAAGTCATTGTCCTTCTCTGGGCCTCTTTATTTTCTACTTGTAGAATATGAGGTTGGAATAGAGTAGATCCTTTATAAAGTTCTCTTTTAGTTCTTAACTTTTTATGTTTATAAATGTACTCTCAAGTTGGCTTATAACTCCTCTGGGGTCAGCAGATACACCTAAGCATTTTCACTTGAAATACCTTTTATGATACTTGATCAAGAGAGTAAGGAAGTGAACAGAATATTTTTCCTTTCCTACTTTGTACTGAATTAGAGTTAATAAAAATGTTGGTGTCACCAACATGGAAGTTAGGGCAATAGCTGTTTAGCTTTAACCCCCATCCTAAATGAGGCTTCACTATAGCTAGTGAAGTCCTAAGCCCAAGTCACAACGATAACCCTGAGAAGATCTGAAAAGGAATGTACTCCTGTGACATATGACACTGGTTCTTTCAATAGTAGAGATTGATTTACACATATTATCTCTTTAGAACATAAGTGACAGAAGACTTTTGGAATACAGTTCCATGTCTGGCTAGCCTGTTTTCTGACAAGTTGATAAGGTCACTGCTAGAACACTTATACATAAGTTTTCAGAAGTGATATACATTTCTGAGAAAAACATGTTTTTCTTTTTATAAAATGGGGTTATATGCTATTTTGGTGCTGTTAATATGAGTTAGGAATGTAGCCCAGGTTCTATTATTATTCAAAGTGAATTTGACAATTTGGAAAGCTGAATCTGTAAGTTTAGAAACCTTTCTGGAAAGTAACCTGTTATTAAATGTCAAGGCCATTTATGATAGTCTCAGTGAAGCAGGGCAGAAATTGATTTGAGGAAATAACCACTTCAGATATGATCAAGGAATTATTTTTGGACAACCTCTTGCCAAATGGGTCTTGACGCAGCGTTTTCACTTGATCACTTTTCCCTGGATCCAAGGCTTTATTCTTCAAAACCTCCTCCTATTTCTGGCCCCTCTCCCTCCATTTTGCTCTTCTCCAGGCTAGAGACAGAGATGGGAATCCATTCAAATAACAGAAACCACACTATCAAAAGCTAGTTTGGAGGCATATTTGCAGAGTGAAAATTCCTCATTTCTCTTGTATGTTTACATATATTAATCTAAATGGATTCCTATTGGTGGACATTTAAAAAAAACAGGGTGACACCTAACTATTTTACTTTTCTGGGCTACACACTATTAATATAATCTCTAGGACTCAGACCTAGAGTTGTTTCAGGTCATATGTTAGAGTCTAAATTGAGGGAACCTTTGTGCTAACGTTGGTAAAAACCGTCCTTGCTCAGCAGGTTCTTAGTGGTTATTAGGTCTAAAATGATGACCATATGCATTATGGACTTTATTTTTTAACTTGAACTACTGTATTCTGATGAGGTACTCTTAAGCTGTGGAAAAGAACTTGTTTGGATGTATAAATGTGGCTTCCTTGGAAGACAGTAGAATTTGGATCACGTTTATAATTCCATGAATCCACTAGGGTTGTTATGTTATATATCTAACATAATTTACACATGCAAATTCCACTGCCCCCAATGAATATTAAAACTGCAACCTGAATTAGGTTATCTATACCTAGAATTGCCGTTTTTATAAAGCAATTAATTAAAATGAAGATGCTCTTTTCTCATATTTTGACACTTCAGCAATATGCCATTTTTTTCTGATAAAAATATTTCAAATTCAGGCTTTTATCTTAGAAATTCTTTGATAGCTATGATAATTAAAACTATCAACAGTAGAGTAGGACCCGACAAACATGACAACTATTTATCTTGCCAATGTATGAGATGTGGTGACTATTGGTTAGAGTGTAGTAGACGTTTTTAAAAAACAGCACAAATTCTAAATACTAATTTTGATACTATCAAATTTTAAAATGTAGTAAGTTAACTGAAACACACAAACACAGAAAAATAATTCACCTAACTTATTAGATATGACATACACTATCGGGTAAATATTTCATTGGCACACATTAGGAAACTAACACATCTTTAAGAAACAAGAAAATTCAACAGCCCTCACAATAAGAAGTTGTAGTATTTAAGAACGAAACAAGCCACTTATACCTAGAAACCACAAGCTGACAATTCTTTGGAATCTCTTCAGCCTCCCTTTGATGCTGTTCATTGACCCAGCATGGGCAGCGTGTAGCACTGAATGGCAACAAAGATGGGCAGGGTAGTTTGCCTTATCTGATAGCTGGTGGGGACTGCTGACCACATCCCTCAGCTCTGTGGGAAGATGGCATGAGATCCTGAGGATGGTCAGGAATCTGTGTAGCAGCAAGAGTAGCAAAGTGGCACCTGGGGCTTCAAGGAAGCATGGGTAAGAAAAGCAAAGCAAAAGGGTTAAGCACCCAACTGCACCTCTACTGATTAGGTGCAACACCCCTTCAGTTGGTTGTAATATGGACTTAGTGTGTACAGGTATTAAAAAGGCAAATAATAATGAAAGTAATAATAAAACAAGAACAAAAATGGAGAATGTGGCTATAAAAGATGATGCAAATAATAGGAGTTTCACTCTCCTTTCTTGGGGGCAGGGGCAGTGAGGGAATCATATTCTGTGTCACCTCTGAGAGCAAGGAAATTACAAATTTCTGTTGAGTTCCAAAACAGATGATTAGGGCTTGACTTAGAGGCGAGTTGTAACTTGTTCTTCCTGTCCATCACCCCATTTGTGCATGAGCAAGTCACAAGCCTCTCCCCAAGTTTCAAATACATCCTCTGAGGAGTCTAAAAGTTTAGAATTTGAGGAGCAGATGCTGGATGCACAGTGAAGAGAGCTGGAACAGGCTAGAGGGCATTCACTGCTCTGAGCAGCGCCCTGGACTTCACCTAATTCTACCTCACTGAGGTTAATTTCACTTTCAGAACAGGCCTCTGCTTTCCCTTTCTCCATCTGAGAATATCTGATGTCCTGCCACATACAGTGCTGCTGAACAATTCCATCAGAAATTGTGTACATTGGCTCTGAACTGGGTTCAGACATATGACCATTAAATTTGGAGAACAGGAGACCCAGTTTCTTGAGAGAAGGACCCATGAAGGAGCGTTTGCTTGATGACTCAGCTTTTGACTTTCCTTGGGCACCACTGGACCTTGGCATGGTTCTGATGAGAGGTGGCCCATGGCAAGCCTTTTTCTTGCAGCCTAAATTAAAAGAGACACTCTTGGATTTGGCTCGAGCCCCACCACTGCCATCATTAGTATCATCTCTCTGAGAGAGTTCAGTGCTGCTAGTGGAAAAGCTTCTCCTTGGGTGTTTTCTATTTCCCAAGAGGTCAAGCACTTCATACCGAAAGCTGGAGATGTCTTGCTTTAATTCCTAGGAAAAGAGAGGAGACATATTATGTCAAGAAACTTGGTCTTTATTTCAAAGTAGGCACATTAGATACCTTTGGAATGTTCCAGGTTTTTGCCTAGTATCACAAAATAAAACACCAGAAAAATCTGCCATTATTCAAACACAAGAAAAACATATTAATAATTCCGTGGGCAGGGCTGGCCACTGGCAAAATTGTACAATGGGTAAAGTTGATTCAGGATTAGCTAACACTTTAGTAGGGATTAGTCTGTTGAGGCGCTTTCATAAGGACTAACTCCTGCTCAAGTATTAACTAGCAAGGTATTAGATTAGGACACTGGCCCTCACAGGTGTCTGCATATAAAAGGACTACTGAAGAGGAAAAAGCTTTTAAGACTCTAACGAGTGAAACTAGAGAAGTGGAATGTCAGGTGATGAGACTGCTGTTTTGAGACAGGGGGCCCTGTTCAAACCTTTATGAAATGTCTTCTATCTCCAACTGAATGCTTACATACTAGACTGTTCCTTTAAAAGCCAAGCTGAAATTTATTCGTGTACTTCCCCTGCTCAAAACTTGTTACTAACTTGTCACTAACTTTAGGAAAAAATAGAAATGCCATACCATGGACTACAAGGTTTTTCAAGGCCTAGTACCTGTTGCTTTCTCCAGTCTCATCTTTCTACTCTTTTCCTAGGCTCTCTGCTGTACACCTGTATGGACATATTCTCCCTTGCCTCTGGGCCTTTGCCTGTGCTGTTCTCTCTGTCTAGAACACTCTTCTCCCCAGCTCCCCTTTATCTGGCTGGCTTTGCTTTCAAGCCTCAGCTTAAGCATCACTTCCATTGGAAAGTCTGTCTTGACTCCCCAAGTCCCAGTTGAGAGTCCCTCCTCTCTGTGTTTCCACAGTGGCCTGTGTTTAACCTGTCAGAATATACAATTGTTCATCACCCTTTATTATTGTTTGTCACTCCTTGAGAGTAGGAGCTGGTTAGATCTTGCTCACCACTGTACCAGAGCACGTAGAAGAGTGCTTGGAACATAGCAGACCCTCGGTAGATGAATTATGTCTATGAATTAGAATAATGGCCTTCCTGTGTGCCTTAGAAAATATAGACGTTCATGGACACAGGGAGGGGAACATCACACACAGGGGCCTGTCGGGGGGTGGGGGTTAGGGGAGGAATAGCATTAGGAGAAATACCTAATGTAGATGATGGGTTGATGGGTGCAGCAAACCACCATGGCACGTGTATACCTATGTAACAAACTTGCACGTTCTGCACATGTATCCCAGAACTTAAAGTATAATAAAAATTTTAAAAAAGAAAAATATATATAGATGTGTTCTAGGATAGGATTTCTCAGTCTTGGCACTATTGACATGTTGGGCTGGATACTTCTTGTTGTGGGAGGCTGTACTATTTATTGTAGGATGCTCAGTAGCAACCTTGTCTTTACTGTCTGGATACCAGTGTGACAACCAAAAGTATCTCCAGACATTGCCAAATGTGGTTTTGGGGACAAAATTACCCCTGGTTGAAAACGGTTGTTTTAGGCTAATGCCACTAGTAGAATTTTAATGTTTAATGGTAGAGTTTCTTAAGACCTTATATTTAATAACAGATTTATTATTATTATTATTATTTTTAATTATACTTTAAGTTCTAGGGTACATGTGCACAACGTGCAGGTTTGTTACATATGTACACTTGTGCCATGTTGGTGTGCTGCACCCATCAACTCGTCAGCACCCATCAACTCATCATTTACATCAGGTATAACTCCCAATGCAATCCCTCCCCCCTCCCCTCTTCCCATAATAGGCCCCGGTGTGTGATGTTCCCCTTCCCAAGTTCAAGTGATCTCATTGTTCAGTTCCCACCTATCAGTGAGAACATGCAGTGTTTGGTTTTCAATAACAGATTTTTTTATTTTATATCCTTTAAGTAAAGAAGATCTTTAAGTCTCCAGGCATCTTCCCTTTGCTATCTTGTCCCTCACCACCATGCATCCTTGCCACATCATTTAAAGCATTCAATTTCCACACTGAGAAACACTCAGAATATTAAAAGAACGCATACAGCAGATTTCCTTCTTTCATGACACTGATTGTGGTGTGACATACATTGGTAAAATCTCTCGGTCTACTGGATGAGAGACAATTCTAAGAGAATAAGCATTATAACTGGCTTTGCTATATCGTAAGCAGATGAAATTCCATCACCAGAAACCTCACACACTGTGAAGATTAAATGATGCTTATGATATGTAAAATGAGAAACCACTTCGTGATTAAATTACCTTAAAATTTTCTTCTGTTAGCCCCTCATTTGTTTTGGAATTTCTTATCATAGCAGCCACATATCTTTTGACTAAATTCCTGATAACTTCCTGGAATTACAAAACATGAAGAGGCATTCAATCTCCTTCTCAGGCTCTCAGTACAATAAGAAACTTACATAGGAAATAAAACATGCTTAGACCTCCTTTCCAGTGGAAAATCCTCATAGGATCCAGCCTTTTACTATAAAAAATGAGTTAAGTCCATTGGCTAAACAACTATTGTGTCTCTGAATTTACTGTCAGAATCAAATTCACCCTAAAGGAAAATTTTTTACCTGAGCATAAGGTAAACATGTATTTCCAGTGGAATAATTCTTGCATGGTCATATAGTTAATATTCTTTTCCTTTAGGATGGATTGCACGTTAACACTCCTAGTAAAATGAGAGTTTTATTCTCCTTTTATAAAATTGAGAGAATTTTCTTCAGAGTCACTAAGTCTGCTGATTTTAATGTCCACTAATTACATAGTGAAGATATTTTTCTCATAGTCAACCTACACTTCTCCTATACAGGAATGTCCTCTTTTCACTTAGCTCCCAGGGGATTAGTCTGCACGTGGTCAGTACAGTTTGTATTAGTGATGGTGATGATGATAGCTGCCGCTTATTGCAATGTGTCAGGCAACACATGCACATAATACATATTATACATACTCATCACTCAATTTTCACAACTCTGTAAGTTAAGTTTTATTACTATCCCCATGTTACAGATGAGGAAGTCAAGCCTCAATAGGCTGACTCATCCAATGTTACACAACTAGTAAGTGTCAAGATTAGACTTTCATTCTACTTCAGTCTGATTTTAAGGCCAATGGTATTGCTGCTTCTACTATGTGTACTTGAGGAACTCACTGAGATGTGCAGGAATCATTTTTTTTTTTTTTTTGTTATCGTTGAGGGCTATGAAGCAGAACATGAAGACAATGAATCTTATTTAAGGTTTGTTATTATAAAAGGAATAACATTTGAAGGCAGGAGTAGGGAGAGGAGGTTTACATACAAAATACCGTATTTTCTGCTTCTCTTGTTAGTTATGGTCTAAGGGGAACAAAGTTAGGAGAAGTGACCTATAGAATAAGGATGCATTTCCTTCAAACGCTGTAGAACATTTTTCTACTTTGGTTTTCTTTTGATCAGGATGGTGAGAGATGGTTGTCTCTTATTTGTGATTTGCAAGGATTATTCTCAAGAGATGTTGGTGATATTTGTATGCTTGGCTGTTTTCTAGCTGGTGGGAAGAGTGCCCTAATGTTTATTAGGTTTATTACATTTTTTTTTTTAACAAAATACAGAAGTGCTTCTCTATTTCTTTGATTAAAGTCATGTTGTAATTTATCAAGATCTAAGTTCCTGACATTCAGATAAGCTTTTACTTCATTGAGGTTAGTTTCCTCCTGTTATATATTACCATTACCCTATGTATTTTTTCTACATGGCAGTTTTTATCCTTTTAATCACTTAATTTTAATACAATCATCCCTTGTTATACTCTGGGGATTGGTCCCAGGACCCCCGCCTCGTGTACCAAAATCCATGCATACTCAAGTCCTGCAGTCATCCTGCCGAACCTGCAGATGCAAAAAGTCAGCCCTCTTGTATATGTGGTTTTACATTCCATGAATACTATATTTTCTATTTGCGTTTGGTGGAAAAAATCTGCCTGTAAGTCGATCTACACAGTTCAATCCTCTGTTGTTCAAGAGTCAACTGTAATTTTAATGACGTGTTATTTTATCCCTGCTAGATAACAAATTTCATAAGGGCAGAAAGATTGCATCTTTTTTGTTCATAGTGATTTTTCTAGTATCTAGTGTAGTATTTTATGTACAGTAGGTACTCATATATTTGACTGACTGACCAACCACATATTCTATTTTATGTAATTTCAATGAAGACAGCTTTCTAAGTCATAGTTGTTGCTGATCAAGCCGAGGCAGTGCATAAGGGCCATGAACAGGATTATAAAGCAGGTGATTCCACTTGGAGAAGGTACGTCAGTCCTTGATAAATTACAGCCTTTCCAAGCCTCCTATCCCAGTCAAATGGGATCGTGTCCAGACATAGCCAGAGTGAAGTTTGCTTCTCCTCCACAGAACCAACCAACAACTATTGTGCTTCATCCCTGTGAGGAAGCTTTACCTGATAATGTTGATTTTGTATCAGGCTGTCAGCATTGCGTTCCTATAATTGAAAATAGAGATGTTACATGAGCAGTCCCAGCACCCTACCCACCCAAACATCTGAATATATTTTTAAATATTAGGACTGGAGAATGATACGGGAGCTCCTGCCTGACAAACCCCCAAAGCAAATATATGTTGGAATGATTTTATGATGCTTAAAACAGTGAGTGTCACAAAGGAGGGACAGGAGGAAACAGTTTTGTTTAATAAGATTCATAATTTTGGTCAGGTGCAGTGGCTAATGCCTGTAATCCCAGCACTTTGGGAGGCCAAGGCGGGAGGATCACAAGGTCAGGAGTTCAAGACCAGCCTGGCCAACATAGTGAAACCCTGTCTCTACTAAAAATACAAAAATTTGCCCGGCATGGTGGTGCTCGTCTGTAATCCCAGCTACTTGGGAGGCTGAGGCAGGAGAATCGCTTGAACCCGGGAGGTGGATGTTGCAGTGAGCCAACATGGTGCCACTGCACTCTAGCCTGGATAACAGAGTGAGACTCCATCTCAAACAAACAAATAACAACAACAACAACAACAAATTAGCCAGGTGTGGTGGTGGACGCCTGTAATCCCAGCTACTGGGGAAGCTGAGGCACGAGAATTGCTTGAACCCAGGCAGCAGAGGTTGGCAGTGACCCGAGACCATGCCACTGCACTCCAGCCTGGGTGACAGAGTGAGACTCCATCTCAATTTTTTAAAATTATTTTTTTAAAATTAAAAGTCTTACTGTGAAGCTTCTCAAGTTGCGCCTTCTCCGTCTACCATCAGGGTCTCTTTTGGGGCAGAAGGTGTTGTTGAACCAGTTACCAAGGTATAGAAATGACTTGGGGCTGGGGATGATGTTGAAAGGAGGTGGCAAGGTGCCACCTTCATCAAAGTAACTCATCCAGAGCTTTGTCCTTGCAAACTTCCACTCGATATCAGCATGATCCTATGAAAGATAACGAAGTTCAAGGATTTGGGATGGGAAACTGCACGATGTATTCACTTCTCATTCTAAACTTTCTAGTTGCTTCTATAGAGGGCAATAAGTCAAGAGCTATATAAATTCAAATTATACATACCCTGTCACCCAGTAACCCTACTCTTAGAAATATATCTTATCAATATACTTACAAAAACATGTATGTACATGGTTGTTTACTGTAGCACAGATAATAGTAGCAAAACAACTGGCAGCAATCTAAATAATCAACAGTAGAACTGGTTAAATAAATGGTGTTATATCTACAAAATAGTATAAATACAACTACTAAAATATGGTAGATCCATAAACATTATATATATGTATCTATATGCATCTGTCCAAGCCCTCTAAGTGAATAAAGCAATATAGAGCGCAACATATATTATGTACAACGATTCTATTTATACAACTGGAAAATCTTTTATATTAACATGCTTACATGTTCTAGACAAGTACACACTAAACTGTCAATAGTAGTTATTTTTAAGGTGTGGGATTGTGGTGGGAGGCTCTTTTTTAAAAAAAGAAAAATCAACTTTATTGAGGCATGATTTACACAGAATAAAATTCAACCATTTAAAGTGTTTGATGAATTTTGACAGGTATATATACCCATGTAACAATCATTATAATCAACACACACACACACACATCAGTATACATTTCTAGAAGTTTTAAGAGCTGCATCGACTGATGTAACCACTACTACAATCAGGATACACAACAGTTCTATCACCCTTCAAAGTTCCCTATTGTTACCTCTTTGTAATAAAACTCTCCCAACCTCTAACCTCTGACAACTGCTGCTCTGTTTTCTGTCCCTATAGTTTACCTTTTCCAAAATGTCATATAAATGGAATCATACAGTAGGTAACCTTTTAAGACTGGTTCATTTTACTCAGCATAACACCTTTGAGATTCATCTGTATTTTCGTATGTATCAATAGCCCATTCAATCACATTGCTGAGTAGTTCTCTTTTATATGGATGCATGATGGTTTGTTTGTTTACCCACCGAAGAACATTTGGGTTATTTCCAGTTTTTTAGCAATTATGAGTAAAGCTGTTATGACCATTCATGTACAGGTTTTTGTCTAAACATACATTTATTTTTTCTAACTTAAATATGTAAGAGTGGTATTGCTGGATCGTATGTTAAGGGTGTGTTGATAATAAAATGCCGAACTATTTTCCAGAGTGGCTATACTGTTTTCCATTATCACTAATTGTTCTATATCTTCTTTAGTGCTTGTCAGGTTTTTAAAGTTTAGTCATTCTAACAAGTATGTAGTGGGATCTCATTATGGTTATAGTTTGCATTTCCCAAATGGCTAATGATGTTGAGCATCTTTTCACATGCGTATTTACCATCTGTATATCTTCTACGATGAAGTGTTTTTCAGATCCTTTGCCCATTTTTATTATATATACATAATATAATATAGAATATATATATATATATTCTAGATACAATCCCTTTGTTAGATATATGACTTGCAAGTATTTTCTTTCAGTCTGTATCTTGTCTTTTCATTCTCTTAATGATGTCTTTACTGGAGCAAACTTTTACTTTTGAGAAAGTCAAAATTATCATGTTTATAAAACTATCAATTTTTTTTATAGATTGTGCTTTTGTGTCATGTCCAGGAACTCTTCAGCTAACCCAAGGTCATGAAGATGTTCTCCTATGTTTTCCTCCACAACTTTTATAGTCGTAAGATATGCCTTTAATTCTATGATCCATTTTGAGTTAATTTTTCCATAAGGGAAGAGGTTTATGTTGAGGTTCTCTTTTAAAATATGAGTGAACAATTACTCTGACACTATTTGTTGGAACAACTCTCATTTCTCCATTGAACTGCTTTTGCCCCTTTGCTGAACATCAGTTGGGCATGCTGGACTACTAGACATCCACATTCAAAAGAGTAAACACCTACGTTATAAAACGTACAAAACTCAACTCAGAATGGATTATAGACCTATACTTAGCAGATAAGAACTATAAAACTCTAATAGGAAAGCATAGGAGTAAATCTTTGTGACCTTGGATAAAACAATTTCTTAGATATGACACCAAAAACCAAGTGACAAAAGAAAATAGGTAAATTTGACTTAATCAAAATTAAAAACACTTTTACATAAAAGGACAGCATAAAGAAAATGAAAAGACAACTCATACAATGTGAGAAAATAATTTAATATCATATACTTACTTGATAAGAGACTTGTATCACAATATATAAAGAATAATTATGGTGGGGCATTCCAAGTTGGCCAAATAGGAATAGTTCTGGTCTGCAGCTCCCAGCGTAATTGACACAGAAGACGGATGATTTCCGCATTTCCAACTGAGGTATCTGGTTCATCTCTTGGGACTGGTTGGACAGGGGGTGCAACCCATGGAGGGTGAGCTGAAGCAGAGCAGGGCGTCACTTCACCTGGGAAGCACAAGGGGTTGGGGGATTTCCCTTTCCTAGTTAAGGGAAACCCTGAAGGACTACTTGGAAAAACAGGGCAATCCTGCCCAAATACTGCACTTTTCCCAAGGTCTTAGCAACTGGCAGACAAGAAGGTTCTCTCCTGTACCTGGCTTGGCAGGTCCGATGCTCACAGAGCCTTGCTCACTGCTAGCGCAGCAGTCTGAGATCAATCTGCAAGGCAGCAGCCTGGCTGGGGGAGGGGCATCTGCCATCGATGAGGCTTGAGTAGGTAAACAAAGTAACTGGGAAACTCAAACTGGGTGGAGCCCACCATAGCTCAATGAGGCCCACTGCCTCTAGACTCCACCTCTGTGGGCAGGGCATAACTGAACAAAAGGCAGCAGACAACTTCTGCAGACTTAAATGTCCCTGTCTGATAGCTCTGAAGAGAGCAGTGTTTCTCCCAGCACAGTGTTTGAGTTCTGAGAACGGACAGGCTGCCTCCTCAAGTGGGCCCCTGACCCTCATGTAGCCTAACTGAGAGACACCTCCCAGTAGGGGCCGACAGACACCTCATATAGGCGGCTGCCCCTCTGGGATGAAGCTTCCAGAGGAAGGATCAGGCAGCAATATTTACGATTCTGCAATATTTGCAGTTCTGTAGACTCCACTGGTGACACACAGGTAAACAGGGTCTGGAGTGGACCTCCAGCAAACTCCAACAGACCTGTAGCTGAGGGACCTGACTGTTAGAAGCAAAACTAACAAACAGATAGGAATAGCATCAACATCAACAAAAGGGTCATCTATACCAAAACCCCATCTGTAGGTCACCAACATCAAAGACCAAAGATAGATAAAACCACAAAGATGGGGAGAAACCAGAGCAGAAAAGCTGAAAATTCTAAAAATCAGAGTGCCTCTTCTCCACCAAAGGATTGCATCTCCTCACCAACAATAGAACAAAGCTGGATGGAGAATGACTTTGACAAGTTCACAGAAGTAGGGTTCAGAAGGTCGGTAATAACAAACTTCTCTGAGCTAAAGGAGGATGTTTGATCCCATTGCAAGGAAGCTAAAAACCTGGAAAAAAGATTAAACGAATGGTTAACTAGAATAAACAGTGTAGAGAAGAACTTAAATGACCTGGTGGAGCTGAAATGCACAGCACGAAAACTTTGTGATGCACGCACAAGCTTCAATGGCCAATTGGATCAAGTGGAGGAAAGGGTATCACAGATTGAGGATCAAATTAATGAAACAAAGTGAGATGTCTAGATTAGAGAAAAAAGAGTAAAAAGAAACTAACAAAGCCTCCAAGAAATGTGGGACTATGTGAAAAGACCAAATCTATGTTTGATTGGTGTACCTGAAAATGATGGGGAGAGTGGAACCAAGTTGTAAAACACTCTTCAGGATATTATCCAGGAGAACTTCCCCAGCCTAGAAAGGAAGGCCAACGTTCAAATTCAGGAAATACAGAGAACACCACAAAGATACTCCTTGAGAAGAGCAACCCCTAGACACATAATTGTCAGATTCACCAAGGTTGAAATGAAGGAAAAAGTCTTAAGGGCAGCCAAAGAGAAAGGTCGGGTTACCCACAAAGGGAAGCCCATCAGACTAACAG